AAAAAAAAAAATCAAAAGAAATATTAGTTATGCAAAATTAGTGATCAAGATATATGTCGCTAAAAATGGCTAATTTATTAGAATACATTTTTTTCGCAAATTTTCTAGAAAGAAACGAATAAAACAGAAATGATTAGAAAAAAATTGTTGAAATTTAAAATTACATTAATATGGTTTTCAAGTTAAAGATTTTTATGCGAACCATTTGTTAATACTCAATATATATAGTATATGCGGTTTATTAATATACACTGCCATTTTCTTAACTGTCGAAAATATCAAAAAATGTTTTCAGAGTAGATTATCTTCAGTTTTTTAAATAAAATGATACCATTGATCCATTAATCCATTAATAATTTGATTATTCTCTAGAAAATTGAAGGCAACGTTCATATCTCGATATGAAATCGACGATATGAAAGCAAAATGACAATAAAACGATTACAGTATTATATGTCCCTGGAAACCATACAATTTTTCGTATTTTTAATAGTTGAAGCAGTGACAGCATGTATACGAATAAACCAGACATGCTCTATATATATAGATATATGTGATATATAGATATACATATATACACATATGTGATATTTGACTTGCTTTGTAAAATGTAAATAAAAAGTGGATTTTTTGGGGGACTTAATTGCAGGATATTTCAAGTATTCTGTGTAAAATGAGTTTTTTTTATAATTGACAGTTACAATTAATCACATTAAAGAAATTTTTTTTATAGTAATTTCCTTCGCATGTTATTCTGACCAAACAAAATAACATTATTTTAATATTTGACTATTGAATCATATTGTATTATATATATTTGAAAGGTCCTTTATTGTTATACATTGTACACAAAATGATTAGAGGATCGTTTTTCGTATTACTTCTATTGTTTATTACATTTCTTTTTTAACGAATGTCTTAAAGACAATTTTTGTTACAGCATCGTGCGAATAACGTGTTAATCCATCAAGACAATAGTGATCCTCTAATTATTTTAAACAGTGTATAATATCTTACCATGCAAATAAAATGCAAATGTATTTTTGAATAATAAATTTCGTACAAGATACCTTTTAATATCTACAATTATTCTATCCTTTCCAGAGCGATATATATCTTTTTTAGATAACGATTTTAATCAGTATTTATCAGTGAAATCCATAAATCATGTTCAATGAGATACATCTTAGCAGATAAAATGAAAACCGAGGTCAAGTAGACATTTCTTTTATCTATATTTATCCATCTATATATATCCATATACGTATGTACATATATAAAGGAGCCGCTTTCAGATCAAGGAAGAACAATAAAGATTTATAGTACTATTTTCATGAAGAAGATATGGAAAAAGGAAGTATGCTAATTACCAAAGCGAGAACCATAGGAGGATTACAGGCATTTATCTCGACCCCACGTATTCGAGTTGACCCCACTCAAGTATGAAAGGATCTTATTGAGAAGCAAACTTAGTCTTAATCACTGATACCGAAGGGGTTGATACATGAGGCTCTCCGTCGTCAACCGAATTTGGGTTGGATTCTCAGGGGCGATGGTAACACTACATCGTGGGCAAGAGTTTATAATCGATGAGTGCACAGCTTGGCAGCTAGCTTGCAGAGCCGATAAGAATTGTTCTTGAAAAGGTTCTTCATTAAGAAAGTAAGGAGCTTGCACTCCGAGCTAAGTAGTTCCTCAGCTGTGACAGGAACGTGTTGACCGAGCACCCGTGAGGATCATTTCTGTTGGATTTTTACTGGCACGTAAAATCACTTCGACATTATGCCAAAGCGAGAAAAAAAAAAAAAAAAAAAAGAAAGCGATCCGGAAAACGGAAAAGGAACGAGGAAAAGTGCTTGTATGTACATATGCAGAGCACGCTCCACGTTCATTTCTCTGAGCCACGTCTTATTAAATTCCGTTGTGCGATATCGTTCGATGGTCTGCTTCAATTCATGCGTCGAACGCGATTCATAAGATTATCTACCGGTCTTATAGTTCACTCCGATCAATAGTTTTCTTCTCAATGATGGAAGATCCAGTAAAAGTTTGACGATCATTAATTTGCATTTAGTGACAATGTAGTTAAGAAATTTTATTTTAACATCGTAAGAAATTAAAATACAATAAATACAAATTTGTCGTTCAATGTTATTTGTCAGCAAAGTCAATCTGCATTGATGGTGTCATATTACGACAGATTAATTTTCACAAGAATAAGTAATCCTGTATAATTAAAAAAGAAGAGGCAAAAAACATCACGGAAAAGAAATGTAGGGAATACCAACTGGAGCTAAATGTTTGATTTCACGGAATTTATGCTAATGTAAGGAGTAAAGAAAATCGTGATAACGTTTCAAGTCAGATGAAACGCTAATTAGAGGGATGCTTCGAGATTCGTTTCTGTCTCGCACCTTCTTCTCGAACCTTTCAGCATTTCATTTGAAATTCAGGCGACGGGCTGACGATGCTTTGAGCCTCGGCTGGATTTATTTAGGCGCAAAGGATCCTTATAGCGGTATACAAGGGAAATAATAGATGTACGCGATATTGATTCCAGCTTTAATGGGGCAACGTAGAACTAATTAGCAACAAAATGAAATCCTTCTCGAGCTACTTTCACATGAGTGAAATTTCTTCAGGAAATGAAAGAAATGTTGTCGCCATTGTCAAGAACATGCAACGTTCTCGTTTTGAATCTTGGCCCAAATCTCTTCAGGACCATAAACGTAACTCTAATGCCAGTGTTCTAATTACACGTTATTCCGTAATTTCATGGGAAGATTCGCGTGTGCGCTTATTTGTGGCAACGTGAACACGACGGTGGCGTTGTGCTGGTAGATATTTTGAGAGCTCTTCGTGTCAGCTTTAATTCCTTCCCAGGGATTCCTTTGCGATTGCGGATTGCACTTGCACCCATGTATCCGACGTGAAACGGCTTCGTAGAAATTGCACTCGCGACTTCCGAGCATCGCTAACGTTGCTAGATAGTCGCAACAGCATGAGAACGAAGAACGGATCTAGGCGGAAGATATTCTCTATTTTTCTCTACGAGTATAAGAGAATGTAATCGAACATAATCTAAGACGCAAAATTTCCCATCAACGAATTTTACTTAAAATTTTCTCGTAGTTCGTTTCATGGGATTTCACAAGGTTAAAGAAGAAGCAGAAGAAGAAGAAGAAGAAGAAGAAAGAAAAGGATCATGAGAAGAGAATGAAGAGGGATAGAAACGAAACACATTTACGAGTAAAGTTCTTCAATCCTCTTCTACGGTGTACAGCCGAATGAGAGAAAGTTCGATTCTGAGCCACCTATCACACCTAAGCTCTATTGGATTTCGCGCAGTGAGCACAGAATCCCGAAATGCGCGTGTCATTTCGGCACGAAGAGATATAACCGCGATCGAATTTCGAGACCTATTATCATCGATGAAGCTATATAACCTTATGCTGTTGTTGATAATTAAAAAATTGAAATCATACAAATAATATAAGATATTTGTAGATACATAAAACTAGGATATTTATTATATTTTATAATATTTTACAGCCAAACGAAATGTAATCGAATACATCTTGTGTGTCAGATTTTCGCTCCGATCCTCGAGGATTCGCGAATCTAATGGATCCTCGTGTCACATTCGCCAGGGATTCCATTGGCAACCATAGACGAGCACTCGGTGCGATGGATAGGAAAATATTGAAAAGGAATCGGTTATCGTTAGACGTTTTTTTTACGTTAACTTTTTTCAACCTGCGGAAAAGAGAACACGTCAAAAGGGACTGTTGTAAACCCTTAGAAACGAAATCGAATGAAGCTTTCACGATTTTCATGCGATTGTCTGAGACGAACGATTTGTTATACAAAAACTTGAATAGCATTATAGCAGAAATTTCAGTGACTGATCTAAGCGAAAAAAAGAAAGGTTCGAGAAATTTTTTTCGATACTCATTTATTTCATAGGTTCATTCATAATTTTATACGTGGATTGTGTTAAAAGAAGCTGCAATGGGAACGACCAAATCAATAACAGTGAAAGATGATCAATGATTTATAAAATGTTGTATAACTTTGTAAAAAAGAAATATACAACAATACACTTGAATGACAAAAATTCAAAAAAATCATATTCATCAGCAAGTTTTATGGGGTTATTTTAAAGAGAAGATGTCAATTCTCAAAACTATCGTGGATCTAATCATGAGAAAAAGGTTTTAATATTTTGAGAGACGTTTCAGTTTTTGTAATTCTTGAGAAAAAAAATATCCTCGATTTCCCATTAGCTGTGAAATTATTTTTGAAAAGAACGAACGAATGAACTTAGATTTCTCGAAGTAGAAGTTTACGCTTTAAAATGACACGATTTCTTTTTCATCAAGTTATGACAGTTTAAATTAAATTATCCATCATTTCATCGTTGTTGGTTCAATTACACGGATAATTCATTTTTTAAAAATCACATTCTACAAGGTATATGCATCGCGTGTTGTTCATATTTTTACATATCCATCATCATGTGAATATAAAATTTTTTGCCAGTCATCGATGACACTGGCATTGAATCGTTCAAACATGCAAAATGAAACGACAAATAAACCATTTCCACTATTGTAAATAATTATTCAAATGAACCCAAGAGCTCGAAAATATCCTTTTTTGATATTTATATATTCATTCGTAATTTCTTTTGAAAATTTCGTTCGAATATGCAGGATAATTGGGGGGATAAATGAATGGTCGTAAGTATGATAAATTTGGGGAACGAAATGATGAATCGTCATTCCGTTTTGCCATCGCCGCTCTGATTACGTTAATAACGCAATTAGAACACGCGCTCGTTCGCATAAGCGTATCGCATACGCTCGCGATGCGCAGGATTTTTTGGAATCGAAATGAAATTCGTGATGAGCTACGTAGCCGTATGGAATGCCGTAGCATCAATTCTAACAGATATCATTGTGAAATTTCATTGTATTCATTGTTGGCATGCGAACTCTTAAAATCTGGAGAAATGCAAAACATTTGTAACTTTAAATAATACGATTCATTTCTCATTCATTTTTCATCTGATTGGTGGGATTTGACGTTTATTTTAGTATACACTACCATAAACAATTGGACATTGTTAGCAATTCGATTAAAAGTTTGATATTTTTATCGACAGTTTACGAACGACTTCTATTGTTAATTCTGTGTATCATACGTTTCATATTCGTTTTTAATAAACAGTTGATGCTTCTATAAAAACTTTTTCAGTTAGAAACATGTAGCTCAATTGTTTCAAAATTTTTACAATGAAGATGTACTAAAAGGCTTTAACTGTGTAATTATTGTAACATTAGTTATTAATATCTATTATATGTCAAGATTAAATTAAAGAGATTCATTTGAATTACAATAATTCAAAAGCATAGTACACACGTATATTACATATATTACATACATAAAATATATATAAATAAGTGTCTATTTTTCTTTATATCTAAGCCTTATGTAATTTAATATTCAATTAATTAATGAATCTGGAGGAAAACGATGAATAATAATTGTATTCAATTGAACCTTGATGATTTAAGTCGCAGCATCGTGAAACATCTCGGATGAGAAACAGGGACGATAAACGAGACGATGGCTTTTCGATTTCAATTCCGTTCAGCGCGATGCTATTAAAATTGTCATCGACTTCAATGTTCATGGTCAAGAGACTTTGGCCGTTCCGGAAATGGATTACTGAGAACAATAGCGAGCATCGGGAGTGTTGTTTCGTTCTATTCTTGTTCTCGTTTCCGCACAATACGCGTTTACGTGAAATCTTGGATAAAACGATCATATTTTTTTGTTACATTTAATGTGCAAGAAGATGTTTGTTCTTTAACACGGATGACTGCCACGGATCGGTGTTCTTAATATTATTAAATATTTTAGAATGGCCAAGCCGGTGATAAGTAACTTAAAACAAAACCAAATACGCTTTCATTGCACTTCTATCGTGGCTTAAAATATTTTTACGAGGATTAAATATATTCTGTTCCATGAAACGTGCAAGTTTCGCGTCGATATGTTAAAGAAAAAAAAAAAGGTTTC